GAAGTTGCCAAATTCTTCATTGAAGATGTCATCTTAAAGCACGGCGCGCCGAGGGAATTAATCACGGATAGAGGAAGGAACTTCACATCTTCAATGATAAGTGATCTGAACAACCAGTGCAGAATAACCCATCGGAAGACGACCGCCTATCACCCCCAGACAAACGGCCTCACGGAGAGGTTGAATAAGACCATAGCAGACATGCTGTCCATGTATGTAGATGTCAACCAGAAAGATTGGGACAGGATTCTTCCATTCGTTACATTTGCATACAACACAGCAAAACAAGAGTCAACTGGGTTCACCCCATTTTTCCTTGTACACGGGCGTGAAGCCGAGACTCCACTGGACGTGTTATTCCCCAAGTTATTGCCAGAAGACGACGATTTCATCCAAACTCTAGGGGCAAGAGCCGAAGAAGCACGAAAACTGGCACGTATCCACTCCATGAGATCTCAAGATAGCAATAAACAACGCTATGACGCCCATCACAGAAATATAATTTATCAGCCTGGAGATCTTGTATGGATCTTTATCCCTGTGCGTAAAGTGGGATATTCGGAGAAACTAATGAGACGTTACTTCGGCCCATACAAAGTAACCCGAAAAATATCTGATGTGACCTATGAAGTTGAAACATTCGGAAACCAGCACGGTCGTCGTAAAGCAAAAGATTTAGTTCACATTTGTAGGATGAAACCATATTTAAACCCAGAGGACCAGGAGGACCACCTAGAAGAGGACCCAGAAGATGACTCGACAAACTTCCAGGAAGAAGAGATCCCCACTGAACGAACACAACAACCACAGACCCGCGTAGAGATCTCAGGCCCTATCACCCGTTCTCGAGCCTTGAGACTGAGGATGTAAGTCTCCTTCTGAGCATCGGGTCGATGCTCTTTATAGGAGGAGGCTATGTGACGAAGAAATAATTTATTAATTAAATTATTCAATGAAACTATTCAACAGAGTATATAAATATATATTAATCTTTTATGTAAAATAATTATCAAAATATCTCTTTGCTTGCTTGCTCAAGATTCTCTAGCTGTAAATAGTTTTTGGCTGACTTGTTAATAATTGTCGACTTGTCGCCGTGACGTCATCAATAAATACTTTTACATCTTAGGATATTTCAAGGCTTGATTTCTACGCTACAATATGGTTCATCAAGATATCATAACCAAAATTAATCATGATATTGAGTGGGTATATCCTATGATAATTGTAAAGATGTGTCAGCATACAGATTTCTTAGATCCTCGTAAGTTAAATGAAGCCTTGGTTAATGAGCAATTTCAAATCCAATCATCTGCGGAAATAATTCATTGAATACCCAAAGCAAAATTTTAGAGTGTGCTAGGCATTAAATCCGCCTATTGGCATATTCTTGTGGCTAAGGAATCTGTAGACATGTTGGTAATGAACTCGCCTTTTGGAAAATATACTGAAACAATGCATCAAACAAAATTATAGAAGAAAGGCAGTGAACCATTAAAGAAGAGAGTCAAGAGATGTGGGCAAGCCAGTAAGTGAGAAAGTATGCAATCCCCCCAGGAGACTGCGATTGACAGATTCCAGGGGTGGGGGCGATGGGCAGTCCAGATGGCATTTCCAGTGTATACAGTTTTGGTGATATTTGCGGTGACAGAGAATGAGGGAAGTTGCCTCCTGAGCGCGCGTGGATGAATCTTCTAAATGGTGCCAAAAGAGCCTGACATCGGAGCGGCCCTTTAGGCGGTGTAGCCCAGGCTGGACATGTACAGTGTGGAGTGGAACACAATAGTGACATCCATAGTGCCAACGGGGAAGTTGAAGGCAAGTCCCACCTATTGTACTCCTTCTGCTCAGTGCGAGTATAATACAGCATTAACTTTTGCTACATCCCTTATGACTCACTCACGTGTGATATCTTTGTGCCAGCCTGATCAGACAAAGAACATGAACAGGGTCTGGGTAGATAACAATTTATTTAATTGACTCCCATTTAGGCTAAAAGTCTTATCTCAGATATCCGCGGAAAAGATTAGTTACATTTTCGGAGATCATGGTGAAAACATCATGTATGTTGATGACATCCTAATATATGAAAATAGCATTGAAGAACATAACAACAAATTGATAAAGATATCAATTTTTTTCAAAGATAACAATTATAAATTTGATCTGGGAAAGGTTCAACTGTGTCAAGACACTGTTATGTTTGTAGGTCACGAAATAGCATCAGAAGGAATCCAAGTTGATCCCAGTATTGAAAACAAATTGATAAGGCTTGAAAAATCCATTGATAAAAATATCTACCGCGTATATATAATGGGTCTCTATAATTATGTTGGAGAGTTCATTCCATACATGTCATCGCATACCAAAAATATCTTGCAAACTATTAAATAAAAATTTCTTTTGGCAGTGGCAGCTTCTTCACAGTGGCTTATCGTCTGTGTCCGTGATCAAAAAGGTCCCTCCCAGCTGCTAATTACAAGGCCAATGCAGAGCGTCCTCTCTCAGGCCATAGCTTTTGGAATGTTCTGCCAACGCCCCTTGTTGGCGTCTAATACATGTACGCATGTATTAATATACACACACTGCGCTTTGTATGCTGGATCGTAACTGCCTAGCCTGTTCCAATCTTACTGTATTTCCAGCGCTGAGCTCCCATTATCGATATGCCCTCCACCATCACTGATCCTTCAACGCCCTTTATCTTCTCATCCTTGAGACGTTCTCTATAGGGCGCTGGACCTGCATTCCTGGGCATTAGCGATTTGCCCTCGAGAAATACGCCTTTATCTCGAAAGGAAAATCATGCACTTTATGCTTTATTTTTGTTATATCCTTGATGGCGTGTAGGAATTAAAGAATACAGTGGGTACATATCTGATGAAATATTTTTATTGAGACTAAATAATATGCAATAATCAATGGTTACAAACTAATCTATACATATATGATGCTAAGGAAGAACATTATAAATGACAACAATAATATGTTGCCAAGAATGATAATGCACAACATTTCTCACTTCTAAGAAATTTCATAGTCTTTGAGGTGACTAGGCTGTCTAATATTGCGTCGGGGTCTATCCCAAAGTTCCAAACCTCTAACTTAGATGGATAATGGCTCTTAAAATAATCTTGGTAAATTTTCAACTGAGCTGAGCCCTCAATCTCGTTCTCATTTTCATTGTGCCCAATTGATGGACCTTCTAGCAGAGCTGAGCCCTCATATAGATCCTGTTCTTCTTTTATTACTCTTGGTCTTATCTGATCTATGTGTGTAGTTGTGTCTCCTGACCATTCACATCCTGTATATATCAATTCCTGGAGAAAGTGGCTTGGATCACCTTTCCTGGAAGCCACTTGTCTCGGCCATTATAGCTCCTAAAATATATATTTTAATGTTGTTCAAACCTTCTCGCAACAGTTTTGGGTCCAACCCGCTCCTGACCATCTTTTATCGCAGCACGAGATCTGGATGGATACAATCAAGCAGAGTTTTAGTCTTCCTACTCATTAGGTGCTCAGAACGACTTTTTTTAGCCAATTGGTAGTATTTCTTAAATTTAATAGTATTCTGTCGAGATCCAGATAAAATCCCTCGTTCATTCTATTCTTTAATTATTGTTTAATGGTCTGTGGACATATATCTCTACTTCTCTATTAGATGCTGGATGGTAGGGAAATATAAATATGTATTATCTCATTTTTTTTACAAAAATTTTCAAATTCTTGACAAAACCCTAGGAGTGGTTGGTGATCAGTTATGAATTTGAATTTCATTCCCTAAAGATGCCTGCGTGGGTTTGAAACTCATCCTCGTCGCCAATTGTATATCCTCTATATTCAATGGCGTGTAAGAATTATAAAATATAGAAGGTGACATATTTGAGATGAGAGATTTTAATTAGGAATAAATTATATGATATGCATCACAATGGTTACAAACAAATATATACATGTATGAGGATGATAAGAAAGTATGTTATCTATAACAACATTAATATGTTGCCAAAAAAAAAACACAGAAACAATATAGGAGTTTAAATCAACTACTTAATCCCAAGTCTAATTCAACACTTCTCTATATAATCTTCTGTCGTTTTATAGACCAATTTCCTCTCGGCAAAATTTCCATATAAATATACAGTGGTACCTCGACATACGAGCGCCCCAACATACGAGTTTTTCGAGATACGAGCCGACGAGCAAGTGATTTTTTGCTTTTAGTTAGGAGCGAAATTCGAGATACGAGTTCGGTTCGGTAGTAACACGCAGTCGCGCCATCACGATCAGTTAGCAGCGTGCTTCCGCTGTGATAAGTTGTGTTTTGTGTTCGGGTTTCGTGTTGCGTTTACATTTACAGTTTTAGTTCATTTATTTTTATAACCATGGATCAGAAGAAAGTTTGTAAAAATTCAAGTGCTAAGAAAAAGATGATGAGTATTGAATTAAAACGTGAAATTTCTACAAGTGAGATAAAGGAGATCTTAGGAATGTGGGAGAGAGTTTCACAGTTTGTGGAAAAAAACACCCAGAAAAAGTTGCAACAGGTCGTGCATCTGACCTTTTTAATGACACTTGCCTAACTCATTTCTGGAACATTCTGAGAGGGAGGAAGAAACAAACCTCCTTGGACATGTTTTTTTCTAAACGGCCTACAGGTGAAAGCGAGAAAAATGTAGCGAAAAAGGCAAAGACCAGTGAGGATATCTAATTTATTTCTTTACATTCTCTTTTTTGTTTTTGTGCAATAAATATTTGATATTTATAAATACGTTTTTATTATTTAAAACCACGTAACAAAAATAACTGGGGTGACATTTTGGAGGTTGGAACGGATTAATGGTAGTTCAATTGTTTTGTATGGGGAAATTTGCTTCGAGATACGAGTAATTCAAGATAGATACAAGCTGCGGAACGAATTAAACTCGTATGTCGAGGTACCACTGTATACAGTTATCAGCATCATGCACAATTCTTTCTTAATTCTGTCACCGTTTCTTTTGGTTCAGTGGTAGAATGCTCGCCTGCCACGCGGGCGCCCCAGGTTCGATTCTGGATGCATTTTTTTTTACAATTTTTAAAACTCATTTATATTATTAAAATATATGTGCTTTTCCTGTCTATGTACAGATTTATGGTCTATGTACACAAGTATACAAGTATGTATACAAGTCATTTGCAAATTGCGTGGCAAATTTTCCCTTTCGCTCGCAAGCAGCGCCTCTAGCGGTGAAGATGGGAGGTAATATCAGCTGACCTAATGGGCATGTTGAACGTGTTTTAACAGGACATAGAGAAAAATCTGGAAAATATATTTTTCGGATTTGTAGTCAAGAAAAATAAATATCGCTTCTCAGACACAAAGTTTGGAGCGGGACGTTTCACAAGAATGACATCTACGCGCCACGAATAGTATTGAAGGCATTGCCCTTTCTTAATCAATTCTGTCATCGTTTGCTTTTGTGAATGGAATAAATACCCAAATATGGCCATTTCTCATAACCATCGGTGGTTCAGTGGTAGAATGCTCGCCTGCCACGCGGGCGGCCCGAGTTCGATTCCCGGCCGATGCATTTTTTTTTTTTACAATTTTTAAAACTCATTTATATATTATACAAGAATGACATCCACGGCGCCAATTTATAATTGTAACAAATGGTATTTGAATAAAAGCATTTAATCGGGTAAACCCCGCCCGGCGGTGGGGTCAGTCATTCGGGTGGGGTCATTCGGCTAGTATACATATATTAATTAAAACATTTTTGGTGTGTTTCATAGAAGTTTATTTTTTACCTTTGTGTACTTCGCAAATTGTAATTAGTTTCAGAATAAAAATCTCATCAAATCAGAATAAAAGGGAGTAGGTAATTCCCCTTTAGCACATTTTTCTATCAGGTACAACTTTAGGCTTTTATATGTGCTATAGATGAATATGGTTCACTCTTCTGCGATCACTGACGCCTGCATTTTTAGACATGTGTAGAGATTGGAAATAGTGAAAAAAAAAACAGTTTTGATACTTTAACACATCGACTGAGAAATGTGCAATACTCGGTTTCAATAGAGACCCACTTATCTTCCAGAGAACCTTTATCAGTTGAAAAGTTTTTTGTACAAGATTATGAATTTATTCACAACTATCACATTTTCCTTTTTTATGTTAATATATAATTAATCAGATGTCAATCAATTTATTTTATACACATATACTAATTAATCAAGAGATTAAAAGTATATTTATTTTAATTTTTATATGATCGATAACTATCCATCCTTATTACAACAAGAAAAAATATATACATTGGAGGGCTTGGGGTATTGATAATTACGATTTAGCCAGTTTAACCTTCAGGACGCTACTGTTGTATTTACCTGTTTGTTTCACATAGTAGGAAACTAACAAGGAATTATATTTGTTAGTATCTAATAGTGCATTGGGCTATTCTGCTTATATAGCTGGCATGATGTATTTAATTAATATATTCACGCAAACTTAGAAGAAAGTAAAAAAATTATATAAATGCTTGCATCTAGCAATACTATTCGTAAAGTATTATCCCATTGCAGTAAGGATAGGAGGATTGTTTAATTTGTTTTAAAAAATTGTAAATAGTATTTTTTATTGTTTATATTCGTTTATATTTTAAAAATAATTTTTTATAATATCGGTCATTCCAGCCGAAATTTAATTTCAATTATAACTTTGTTTTAACTTAAGCAAAATTCTTATCAATTAAAAATGAACAATAAAAAAAGACTAATGAATATTCTTATCATCATAGGTAAACAAAATACGCTTATATTTGTAAACATTGAAAGTAATTTAATTTAACTTGAGCTTAATGTGTATTTAACAAAAATTGTCATTTGTATTTTATTTATTTAATCCTTTCAACTTTGGAATTAAATTTTAAAGTACTCATTTAATAAAGATGTAGTTGGTAAAAATATATGAATATATATTTTTTAAATTGCGCGAATTGACAGTTGACATTAATACACTTGAAAACGTTTACCATCTCCCCCAATAATTTAACAATAATTCATTTTACTTATATCAATATACATTAATATTTAATTATAGATCAGGATTTTTATTTAAAAACATCTACAGTCATATATGAAAAGTTTGAACATATATTTTATAACCGTTTTTTTTTTTTTTTTTTTTTACAACCAATTTTTTTTTTTTGATATACCAGGCAGGTTGCAAGAAGTGTTGCTTTTCTCTTTATCCTTTTAGTAAAATAATTTTGATTAAAAAAAAAAAGATCACACCCAAAATTAGCCACCAAAGTTTGACATAAACAATGAGATGAAATTATAAAAGTATGTTTAACTTCATTAATTAGGTTGCAGATTGAGCTTAGCTGTTTTTTTACCAATATGGCAAATAGAAATTTAAATACAGTTAAACCTATCTATAGCACCCCCTCTTGGGACTCACCAAAATAGGGTGCTATAGACAGGTCACTTTTAATGTAAATCGCATCGTACTACGTATTTAAAATCAGGCGCTATAAAGAGGGAGGCGCTATTTAGAGGGGCGCTATAGACAGGTTTAACTGTATGATTTTCTCACACCATTTTTATATTTAGTTATATATTGATGAGACAAAGGTGGGGATGTACTACTCAGATGGTTTATTTGGTGCAGTGCTGGGCTTGTGGTCCAGTCCAGGAATGTCATGGTGTTCGGGGTCTCACTGGGCCGGTTGTAGGAGGGGATGGAGCTGTAGCTGACATTTCTAAATCGCCAAGTCAAAATCCAAACAGGACGAAGATTAATTTATTACTGGCATGTTGTATTTAACATATTGCCCGTGAAACAGTGGTCAATGGTCAAATACAATTTATACCCTTCTTCTCTGTGATGCCATTTCTCTGATAAAAATAATTAAATTAAAAAATAAAGAAAAATTCAAATAATTTTTTAATGCTCACATGTACTATTGGTCAGTTATTTGTTGACACACTACAATATGTTAACAAGCCAATACAGTGGAACCTCCAGTGGAGGATACTCCCACTAGAGAATACCTCTCTACAAAGAACATTTTTCTCCAATCTTCAAAATTACCATTTTTAGCTGCTCTCTGGTAAAAGGTAACTTCTCCCAAAAATGACACTTTGGCTCTGCAACTAGGTGTTGTCCTTTTCAGGGATGTTCTACTGTATATGCAGCCATAATATCATGTTAAACAATGATGTGTGTGACAAACCAACCATATGTTCAGTTAAGACATATTAAGGTTCAGACTAATGATAAAGCACAATTTGGACTATAGATTATAATAAAAGAAAATAAGACCTAATCCAAATAATTTATTAGTGTGTGATATTTCGGCAACAACATTGTTACCATCATCAGACAAAAGAAAAATCTTTTTCTTTTGTCTGATGATGGTGACAATGTTTTTGCCGAAACGTCACATACTAATAAATTATTTGGATTAGGTCTTATTTTCTTTTATAGGTTTAGACTCAGTACATCTAACAAGGGGTTTTGTTGCTCAGACTGGCCAAGTTCCCCGGCTGGAGAAATCAAATAAGCCAAGTCTGGGGACTTTAAAGGTAAACATCCCTATTGGTACTTTATTCTATTCCTCTATTTTCATTCTTTGAAGATAATTTTTTTCTTCATTATTATTTTTAAACCTATTTATTTTATAGGAAAGGAGATCACAAGGTAATAGAATTAATCCAAATATAATCTCTTTAATTTAACTAAGTATAATGATGATATATTCATGTTCTGAAAGAACCTCCTCTTCCTATGGGGTCTCTTCTTCTTATCTCAAAGCCATGAAATCATGGTGGGTAGTTAGCGACTGCTTTTACTGTAAGTGCACCGCATGTCTACACATGTGAAAAGCAGTTCGACTTTGCACTTACAAATGTGCCAGAGCCCCGTTTGGTAACTTGCATTCGCTGGTGGGGTTGGACTTTTGCAAGAATCGGAGGCCATTGGAGTATTTTTTTTTTTTTTAACAGAAAAAAGTGTCCAATGCGGGAATCGAACCCGGGTCGTAGTGGTCGAAAACCAAACGGTTTAACCAGCCTTCCACCGACCCCCTGATAAACAAAAATACAGGTGCCCCCTTTCAACATAGAAATAAACCTATAATAACCAAATAGACCTCTCAAAACAAATTTTGTTCCCTGAGGGAGTTAAATGGATCCTTATACGAAATAATGGAAGAATAAAAAAAATGTTGATCCCAGATCAATATTTATTATAATAATTAAATCTATTTAAAAGATATAATTAGGCCCCCTATTGTATATATGTATTTCTATCTGTCCCCCCCATCAATATTTGGTATCAAAATCAATTTTTTTCTGATTGGAAATGTCACTATGGCTGTACAATGTCCCTTTGTTCCTAATTTGTTTTGATTTCTGAAGATGACGCATCGTAAATCGGAATATCAGAAAGTTAGAACAAGTAAACCTGACCTCACTCAAATATTGTTCTGTTATACAGTCGAACCTCTTTTAATTCAACACCTCAAGGGATCAGAGCTTTCGGTTGAATTAAAGGAAGTGTTGAATTAAAGTTATTCAGATGATTAGCTAATCATCTAACTTGCTAAAATAATATTTTTTTAAAATAGCTTAGTAATATAAATTGATCATATTAATTGAAACCATTGTGTGTGTCCTTTTTTGTATTTATTTTTTATTTTCATGGTTAACTTTAGTATCAGGGACAAAATGGCAATAATACATATTTTTGAAACATAAATAATTACAAATGATATTTTATTTTAATTGAAGAATATAGCAGTTGAAAGAAAATAAATATGGAAAATAAAATGAAAATTTAAAAATAATATTTTAAAATAATCATGAAGATATATATTAAAAATAAAGAAGGCATCTTTTTAAAAATTCCTTTATAGATGTCTGTTTTTGCACTGAAATCCTATTCAGGATGTATTCCAGATGGTCTATTTAAAAAAAAACATGCATGTCTTTCTTCCTCTGGAATGTGTTTTAAATAACAAAGTTTTTATTGTATTAAAGACATCCACTGCTGCTGCAGGTATTATTGATTTT